AATTGGAAAGATGATGAATAGCCCCCTGAAAGAATAATCCAGTACTGTGGGCCTGCCACCTGGGCAGAAGATGGCTCATGGGGTTATCGTGCTCCAATTTACATGCGTTACCGAATCATTTGATTACAAGCTGTTCTGGAAATGCTAACCAGCAAAACTAGCCAGGCTCTAACCATCCTGGCCTGGCAGGAAACCTAGATGAGAAATGCCATCTACCAGAGTAGACTGGCTTTAGATTATCTGCTGGCAGGTGAAGGAGGGGTATGTGGAAAGTTCAGCCTAATCAACTGCTGCCTACAGAGAGATGACCAGGGTCAGGTAGTTAAAAGCATCGTAAGGGACATGATAAAACTAGCACATGTACCCATGCACGTTTGGCATGGGTTTGGCCCTGGGTCTATGTTTGGACAATGGTTTCCAGCTATAGGAGGATTCAAAACCATTGCTATAGCTGTACTGCTGGTAATAGGAGCATGCTCATTGCTCCCTTGTTTAATGCTCTTGTTTCTTCAGATGGTAAAAGGCTTTACTGCCACCTTGGTCCCTCAGCACAAGTTTATTAGGTGAATCACTACTGACCAGTCTCGCAAGACTCTGACAGTGAGAATGAAGGTGAGAGCTCCCACTAAAAAAAGTAAAACAGTGAGAGTCTCAAAGTGGGGAAATAAGATGAAATGTGGGGGTGAGCCCTTTATTTACTGCCTGCTGTTTGCTGGTAAAAGAAGTAAAATAGCAAAAAGCTGAAGTCAGTAGTCAGGCAAGATGCTGACCTCACTGGCCTGGCCACGGCAGGGCCTGCGGGCTGAGAGAACAACTCTCCTCTCTTTAACTGGTACCTATGTTTTCTATCAGCCTTGAAAATGTTGCAAAAGAATGTTTTTCCTGCTGCCAAAGGACCTTCCCTGAGTCTTGTACCCCATGTTTGCATAAACCAGACCCCCCATCAGGAATGTCTCTGACACTAAGTAATTCACTGCCTTTGTTTAACTTTTGAGCTCTTCCTCTTTCCCCCTTCCTGCCCGCACTAAATGTAAATTAGCAAATCAATGAAAGCCATAAACTGTAAGGTCAGATGTCCAGCCAATGGGTAATGACACAGGTTTACCTCTGCTCCCCCTTGGGTTGCATGTGTTTAAAAAGGGAAAGAAACTGTTTTTTGGGGAACGTGGCTTTTTTGGACACAAGTCAACAGATGCTCCATAGCTAGCAGAATAAAGTCTCTTCCTTCCTCACTCCAGTGTCTGAGGCTCATCCTGAAACACTATGGCAATTCATCTTCCTGAAATTATCTGTGGGCTTGTAAAATAAGATGATGGAGACATCAAGTAAAAGCCTACAGGGCCAAAAGAATGCAGGAGCCTCTTCTGTTGGGGAAGGACCAAAGACTATAGATCTATTTTGATCTCTGAGGAGCATGTTTTTTCATATTCTCTGGATCTTGGTCCTACCTCAGATTGAGAGACTGGTCAAGAAAATTCTAATCAAGTGAAATATTTCATTTCATGTCATATTCTAAATTCTAAAATTCTCTATTTATACATTGTCCAATATTTTATTTATATATCATGTCTTGCAACGCACCCATAGGCAATACATTGAAAACATGGAAACATGTGTCAGATGTTTTCCTTAAAAACCTATTGCCTATACCACGGAGGCTGAGGTTGCAGTGAGCCAAGATGGCGCGACTGCACTCCAGCCTGGGTGACAGAGTGAGACTTCATTTAAAAAAAAAAATTATTCTCTTGCTCAGAACACTGGATGTTCTTCCTATGGAGATTTGCAAATTAAACATGCCTACCTCCAAAAAACAGTATCTTGACTTATTTTTTCTAGATATTTTATAATTAATATTAAGCTATACGTTAAAAATAATATTAAGCTATACTTTAACAGTAGATGGCATTATATCATAAGATAGGTACAGTCAGAAAATTCTCCAAAGTTCCAGGTGAGTTTCAGTAAAGTGAATTAATTATCTATACTGGATCCACTGAACTGCTCAATTTCTATACATTCACACCTGCTTGCAAAAAAATTAACTCTAATGTTCATGCATACCCACAGCCCTGCCCAGATCGGCATTACCAGAAATCCATGGTCTCTGACTACAACAAAAACTGCAATAAAACCTGACCATCTTGCTCCTCCTCCCACTATCCAATCTATTTAAAACCTTATCTACTTCTGCAAAACATAAGCTCTGACATGTACATATTTCAATTTCATTTCTGACTTCCCACTCATTTCTAGATCTACAAAAATCACTTCAACTACTTTCCAAGTCATTAAATGACCTCCTCCTTGGTAAATGCCTCCTAAAAGTCTCCTCCTCAATAGTCTTCATTACCCTCTTGATAACACGAGAACCATTGATCACTCTGTCCTCATTCTCTTCTGCTGAAAAGTTCTCTCTCCTTGGCTTTTAGGAGATCACACCACTCTGGTTTGCAGCTTGTCCTCTGGCTCATATCAAGTTAATATCCCTGATGAGTCTGTTTGAGGACTTCCTGTGATTCTATTCTGCGGGTCCCCCTGGTGAATGTATACACTCCTGTGACTTCATTACCACTGCCTCCTAGCTGGGTATCTCTCCATCCCAGATCTCTAGCTGGGTTGCCAAAACTACATATTCAATTGCCTTCCCACATAGCTCTACTTGAGTGTCACACTATCTCAAACAACACAGTGAGGCCCAAGTGCCACTTCTGATTCTTTACACACACACACCCAACAAACAAGTTATGTTTCCACAGCTGAAATGCCCGTTTAGTCTGCGTAGCTCTATCCTTTACTTTTCATTCAAGCCACTGTCATTTTTTATCTGGATTACCATGACATAACTGAATAGGTCTCCATACCTATCTTGTCACCTTTCATTCAATTCATTTTTTCACATCGATGCCAGAGCAATATTTATGTGACACAGTAATCAAGGCTTTTCCAAGACAGATACCTTTCAATAGCTCTCCAGTGACCTCAGGATAATGTCTAAGGCTTCCTAACATAGCTTAGAGACTTTTCCAGCCCAACACAATCAGAACCCAAGAATACATTCCAATTAGGTGACAGACCTAGGAGGCAGGCCAATCAACCAGGCTCCCAGGGCCACACTGCTGAACCACTGCCAAACTGCTTCCCATTACTACCACTCATGTGGAGCTCCCACATGCTGACACCAACAAACTCTGTCTGCAATTATGTCCTTAAGAAATTGTCTGCTACTGTGCCTGGGGAAATGAAAACAACCCTCATTTGGATTCATGTTGTGTCAAGTCAAACAAAAGGTTCAAGCTGCCCTAAAAGGACAGGTACTAATGGCCAAGTCTGAATTTATGATGGTGACTGTTTATTCCTGAAGAGCCTGTTGCTTTTCGGAATCACTCACCCTGTGATTTAGTCTTCTCCTTTCTTGTCTCCTTTGCCCTACTCTGCCACACTGAGTAGCTTGGCAGGCCAGCAGTATCACATCTTGGTCCTTTACTCACACTGCTTCCTCTGCTCTGAATACCCTTCCTTCCTGGCCAGTAGCTACGACTCCTGCTCAACTCTTGTCTTCCTTAATCCAACCATCAGCTCCTTCAGGAAGATTTTCTGCCTTCCCCTGTGAAGCAGTGATCAGTCACCTTCTCCTGGAATCTCCCCTGCGTGGACCTCTCAGGTAACTATCACCTGCTTTTGTGTTTAATAGTTAACATGGCCGACTACCTTCATCCTCCTGATCACAACATCCAGCACAATACGTCCCTCATAGTAGCTATTCGAAAAATTTGGTACTCAAAGTCCACTGCTGTCAAACACAAAACAGTGCGAAGAATATATTGCAACAAATTTCATATTGAAAATAATCATTCTATGGCACAATGGAGAAAGATTTAGCCTAGTATGCATTTTTAAAAGTACTGATTCCATTCAATGAAACACAAAATAAATTTAGCGGGATGGGCCTTCAGCTTTAGTTTATGAGTTGCAGGGGAAAACCAGATTAACATAATTTGCCTTCCTTTGTTAGGATACTAATTTCTCACTAGGCTTGGTTAACAGCGTTTTTTAGGTTGCTTCACATCTCTCAAACATGACTCAAACTAATGAAAAGAAGGAAAACGATGTCAAAAAAGCCATTAGGTAATGGAATCAGATAGTGGCTATATTGGTTGGGAACAGGAATATGACTCGATGACCCACCCACCCCCAAAAAAGCAGCCACTTAAAAATCAAAACCCGTACGATCTCAGGAAACACGGAGACTGTTCACAGAAGGCACAAAACGCATGGCGCGCCCTTACCACCCTCTCTAACCCCAGGCACTGAGAACCTGCTGTCACCCAACATGCCCCCACTAGCCCAGAGTCCACGGTCACTCCATTCAAAGCAAACAGTGAGGGGTCTTGCCCACCGTGAACTCTGCAGAGCAGGCCACTTGCACACAGCACGCTCTCAACAACACCAGGCCAGGTCCCTGGTCGCCCAGCACAGCCCATGCCAGCCCAGCCCATGGGGCACAGCGGACGGACGCACTGCAGCACTTTTCGCGGATACCGCCGAAGCGCTAAGGAACACCCAGCTCACCAAGGCGCCAACTGCCCCGCCCAGGGAACACAGGTTAAACTCTCACCGCCGGCACAGCACGGGCCCTGGCAACACTCCCACGCACCCGTGCACTCCAAAGCAAGCCCTTACCCGGGGCACCCAGTCCGCGCTCCCCTTGCGGACTATGCTCAATCCCGAAAACACAGGGCACGCTTTTGTTGGGGGCGCAGCCAGACCTTCCGTAAATGCGGGCCGTGCACATCACTCCAGCAAACAAGCCTCACCTCGGGCTCTAAGTGGTCCCGCATCCCCGCCACACACCCCAGGGATCTGCGCACTGCGCCCCTGGCCTCTCCCTCTACCCCAAGCAGGCGGGACCTACGGTCAGCCCCGCCCCGCGCCTCCTGCCGGACTGACTGAGCAGAGTTCCAGCCTGTCCGCTGACGCGCGAACCCGCCCCGCGATCCTACCGGAGCAGGAGGACAGCAGCAACACCAGGGCTGCCAGAAGCAACCCAGGAAAGCGCCGGGAAGGAGAGGGACGCTCGCGGCGGCCGGGAGGCTCCATGCGCGGCGTGGGAAACGCCGTAGTTTATCCGGAGGTGAGCAGAGAAACCCGGAGCCAGCTGAGCAGGGAAGTCCCTTCTGAGTCTGGTTATTGGACACAACATTCCTCAAACTAAAAAAGTGTCCAGGGCCGCTTGACAGGTGGGCGTGGCCTGGGCAATCCCGGGGCGGAATTGAGTCCCGGCACAGGGGCGGTGGGGCCAATCGGCGGACGACTGGGCGGGGCCTCGGTGCGCAGGGGCAGTCCGTTGGCTTTCAAGGAGATAGGGCGTGTCCAGAGCCCAGGCCGGGCATCACTGTGGGCCAGCAGCCCTCACGGTTAGTTTTATCCTGGGGCACTGCAGGCTGTCCGGACTGCCTGTGCCCTTACAAGGTATTTGCCATTAGACATTATTAGGAACAATATTTGAGTTTTTCTTGCTTGAATTCCTGCTACTGAATCGTCTCTTGCCCTCCTGTTTTCAGTCTCAAAGGTTTGGCTCCTGCACTCCCAGCACCTAAGGTAATTTGCTCTTTGCTTTCCTCCCCAGAGAGGTCCCCCGTTGTATTCTAAACTATTAAGCAACATCAGGCCCTTAGCGTATTGGGACTCTATGGGGCCCTTGCCCTTGAGCGACTAAATATTTTATTGAAGACGAAATACACATGCATGAACAATGTAAGGACAACGGTGTCCTAAGTGCCAAATTCCAGGAAGCAATAAATGCAGGAGGATTGGGATGGGTAGAAATTGTTAGGTCAAGTGGATAAGGGGGAGAACTTTCTTTTTTTTGTGCAACAGTCTCAGGAACAATGCTGGAAAATTAAGAATGAGCAGGACTGATCGGTAGAGTTGTGAGTAAACCAGTGTGACTGGGAAAAGGGGAAAAAAGGGACGTGACTGGCATTAAAAGACTAAGCAAAAAGAGTTGACATTTCTTTCTCTCAGATTGGCAAAGAATTAAAACGTCAGCCAATGTGAGTGAACGTGTTGCAGGGGGACCAGCACTCTGGTTTTAACATAACTTTTCAGTAAGTTAAAAGTCTTAAAGTGGACATGACTTCTGTTAGGCTGTCAGTTCCCAGAGAAATCATCAGAGCTGTGATCAAAGATTTATAATTTTGGAAAAAATGTAAACCCTAAGTGTCTAGCAAAAGTAATAAGGAATTTCTGGTAGTTACCTTTGTGTGATGGAATTCTATGCAGCAAGTATTGCAAAAGAATACCAAATATGAGAAACTATGATATAATTGTCAGTGGAAAAAGCAGAGTCCAAATTGGCATGTGCCTTCTGGCATTCCTTTTATTAATACAAAAATACTATATATAGTATTTTTGTATTAATATAATATATATATTTTTATAATATATAATATATATTATATATATTATATATGTTTTTGTGTGTATATATATGTGTGTGTGTGTGTGTATGTGTGTATGTATATATATATAAACAAACTAGGCCAGGTGGGGTGACTCACACCTGTAATCCTAGCACTTTGGGAGGCCGAGGCAGGTGGATCAGGAGACAAGGAGTTTGAGACCAGCCTGACCAACATGGTGAAACCCTGTCTCTACTGAAAACACAAAAATTAGCTGGGCATGGTGGTGGGCACCTGTGATCCCAGCTACTCAAGAGCTTGAGGCAGAAATCTCTTAAAAAAAAAAAAGAAAGAAAGAAATAAAAAGAAACTAGTTAGAAATACAGCAAGAATAACAATGGTTGAAAAGATTATAGATATTTCACTTTCCTTGTGCTTTTCAGTTTTCTGTTTTCTATGTTGACCCTATGATACATTTAGAGTAAGATAAAGAAAAATTTATTTTTAAAAATCAAACCGGTATCAAGGGCCATTTTGCTCATAGAATTATGAGAGTAGAACTTGTGTTACCCAGAGTTAACACATGAGAGGACGGTGAGGAACTGGGTGCTCAGTGTATACACCTAAAAATGGGTCTTATAGAATTATACAGTTTAAATGTTTTTAACACACTTCTATCACCGAGACATACTGAAGACTTTCTGGGTTCACCAAGCCATGAAATTTCATCTTCCTGTGAGACCAATAAAAATTTTAATTTTTTTGGCTGAGAATACAAGACATTAATTGTGCTGGTATGTCAAATAAACATCTTAGTATCTTGGATTATAAAATTCAGACACTCATGACTGCAATTAAAGGAGGTATAATTTAGGAGATAGTAAACAGGAAACTCAATGGGGAAATTATTATTTCTGTTAATGTATGTTATGAAAGAGTGACATGACAGACATGTTCTGTGGCTCGATGACAGCACTCATTTCTGAAAGCAGATAGTCTATTTATTGTTCTCCATAGCAATAGATACTAAAAATTCTCCATCTATTTTCAGGCATGGAAGAAAAATATATTTTTTCTCATGAGAAAAATTACTATAAACTATACAAGAAACATGTGGCTAGTGTTTGATTTCTTGGTTTTAGGTGTCAGATTAGATTCAAAGATTGGTATTTTATTGAAACTTCCTTCTAATCAGTAAAATTTCTATCTCTGGGGTTAATCAAGGCATTCTTAACATACCCGAAGATTTTCACATTAAATTTGTAAAACATTTTTATTTGAGTCAACTGAAGCTTCATTTGAATGGTTTTGAGTCTTGTTCCCTATTTTATTGGACAAGTTCCCTAAGTCAGGGATAGAGTTTTCTTATAATATCTCCAGTGCCAAAATCTATAGTAGGTGTACAATGAATAGCTGGTAAATATTGGATGAAATAAATGGTTCTTGTGGTCAAGCGCATTTAACATGTCTCTGCCAGTTCTCCCCCAGCATGAGTTTACTAAATGCCCTGAAAATTCTGAGAGATTTCGATTTAAATAATATCAGACCTTAGGAAACAAATCGAGATCTGTCTGTAAAAGGGATGAGCTACAACTGTCTGCACAGCAAACGTTCCTAAATCAGGTGTTGCAGGCTTACTTGTGAAGTGGACCTGTGGTCTGTCCCTTAGCCTTGAGATCATTTTAGTCGCTGAGTTCAAATGGGGGTGAGGGTGTCAGCAATGAACTTCCTGAGGCCTTAACAGGGGTAAAACTTGAAGTCAAAGTTTTGATTGAAGTAGGAGATTAAACACTTACGTTTCCTCCAACTCCCTGTGAAGATTTTGTCAAACTGCCAAAGAGGAGAAAAGGAGAGAATGGAGGATATGTGTGTTTGTGGACCAGGTTTAGAACTGTGTGATCTCCTTTAAGGGCCTTATGAAGGGCGGTGTGGGTGGAGGCTGGTGTGCGAGGATGTCATTGAACTGTGGCCAACTCTTTTAAAATTTGATGTTAGATGGTTCTTTGCCTCCTAATTAGCATAATGTACTTACGGTATGCTTTTCAGGAGCAGGTGTAGCAGCATGAATGGGCCTCTATTTGTACCTCCTAAGCACCTGCAGCCAACTGACCTTTATGTTTAGCTGTGTCTGATTCTCTTTCCTGTTACCATCAAGGGCATTTCATGGCATTACACACCAACACAGGGATTTGTGAAAACACTCAGGTACAGACAGAAGTGCATTTCTCAGAAGGAATGGATAGTACTTTTTTTCCTCTTGGCTTTTGAAGGCTTTGAAGGCATAAGTATATTACAAACTATATTCCATAAGTAGATTTGGAAAATAAAGTATTTTATTTCTTTCTCATTAAAAGGGTAGAGACAGAAAATTTCATTTAATCATCATAAACTTTACACTACACACTTAAGTGTGCCAAGAAAGCAAACAAAACAAAGACTGTTAGGACTAGGAATAGCTTCAGAGAGCAGCTGGTGTCCAGCCCCTGCTTTTCAGATGAAGACGTAAAGTCAAAGTCAGCAGAATTGCTTAATAATACAAGTTAGGCAATATAGTATTTTACTCATAGTTAGCATATGCGATATTTCCCATTATAACTGAGGTAATGGGAAAAAAATCTTTTGGTTTTCTTGCAATTAAAAAGTTACAGATGAGGTTGCAGTGTGCTTAGATAGCACCACTGCACTCCATCCTCGGTGACAGAGTAAGACCCTGTCTCCAAAACAAAACAAAAGTCACAGGCATTGCATATTTATTAATCATATTTCTCACTGACCTACTCCATTCTGGACACACACACACACACAAAAACCCAAAAAACAAAAAACAAGAACACAGGATTTTCTTTTTCTTGTGATGGGGAACTTTAACTCTAAAAAAGGCCAATTCCCAAGCATTTAGTTTGTAGTACTCCTTTAAAAGTTACTTCTTCAAAATCCCAAGAAATAAAAGAGATTTGCTAAAGATCCAACTAAGCAAAATCCAACTAAGCAAAATCTTATCAAGTATCTTTACATATATTCACTGGTTACTTGCCCTTCTTTCTTGGTGACCTAGCTGTATGTCCTTTGCCCATTCTTGTGGGGTGGAGAGAAGTTTGGTCTTTGAATTTTTAAGTACTCTCTAAATAATAAAGCATTTACTTTTTGTGATGTTAGTTGCATTTTTTTCTTGCAGTTTATCAGTGGAGTTTTCTTATTCTGGTTTAATTTTAAATTGAAATTCAGTTTCATGTCTCTTTTGCTTCTTATATCGTTGTCAAAGTAAATGTGGCAGAATTCATCTTTAAAGCAACTATTAAATAGAATTACACAGAAATGAGTAGCAGTCATATATAAAGCTATTATTAAGTATCTAGAAATATTCTGATGTTTTCCAGAGGTCATTAGCATGGCGCATAATATCATAACAAATTTTTGATCTCTAAAGATGTGGACTAAAGAGCACAGTGTCACTTCTTTTAAAAATGTCAGAAGATGGTTATTATTTTGATAAATTTTTTAAAAGTTGTGCTTTTAAAAGTTAATTTAGTATATTCTGAATCCATACAAAAGTAAGCTAGTTACATTTATAATTACAATTATTCTTTAATTTCAATTTTTAGTATATTTTTATATAGAACATAGCACAAAGTACTTTTGAAACAAAGCTTAGAAAATACCCAAAGCTTATTTTCCAAATATTTCCCTTGAGTAGTCTTAATCACTCTTCCCATAATCACTTAATGTCTTTTTAGTAAATTAATTTTTCTCCCTAGAGAAAATATGTAGCATATATTTCACTCCAAGCTGTTTAAAAGAGTAGGTTTCTGTTCTA